AGAGGCAGCAAATGATACCCCAGCTTGGTCCCAGATGCATGGCTTCCCATAGTGAGCTAATCGCAATGAAGAGTACCTGCTCAAATGGGCCGCCCTAGGTCGAACCGACCTAAGTTCAGTGGAAACAAGCCGTTAGAGACTTGAACTTGCGTGTAACAGACAACGTGATGGAACTCTGCTTTTGTGATACCAATGAAACGCCATGTATTACCATGGTACCTTTGCATAACCCATAACCGGGACACTATGGGGTGACCTTGTCATGACCAGTGAATTGATCTACCTTGTCACTATCACAGGTACAGTGCATGACGACAGCAGTCAAGCAATTATCATCCATCAACCATCTACATCTTCCATAACGTGATATAAACGTTTACGGAACTTAAATGGTGGGCATGGTTTTATCATTCTGACTTTTGTAGAAGTATCTACATTTGTAGTTGCTATATGGAACTAGAGGAAGAAATTATTTGCTCGGTTCTACACGGATTAGAATTAAATGTGACGGAGGTTTTAATGTGGCTGAATGAGAAGTACATAATTTCGAAGGCATTGTAAACAGCTTCAAGGTCAAAGTGATAAACTAAATTACATAACCTCACTTCTTTTACAGAAACAATGCAATAAACAATATCTCTTAATGGCAAGGACAAGAGTCAATATATCGATGAATAGTAACCTTTGCCGATAGGTCAAACTATTTAGTCTATTACTTAAAATTCAATAAATAGCGCCCAAGCTAACTAAGAAAAGCGTTCGACCTTGGTTACCTCATATTTTCATTATATCTGTCGACGCGGTAGAAAACAGAGTAGTTTAATACTGTCTGGGTTTTGAGAGGTGCACACCCACTTCAATGGTTGAGTGTCAACCTACACCGTAAATCTCACTCAAACATGCAATTAATTACACCATATAAGGTATCAACTGGTTCATATTATTCGGACTCAGTCGATAAAACGTTGGTTTTGTTATCTGTTATCAGTCCACAACAATGAAAAATTTAAAAAATATATCATTGAGTGGCGTTTGACAAAATAAAGGTCGACTTAACCTTATGTACCTAACTAAAAATAACACAGCACGTAGGTGCACCTGTTGTCGTTACTCTTCAAAGTAGGTCAAAACCTCTAAAAAACAGGTTAAGTCCAAAACGGTAAGTATAGTGATGTAATACTCTTTATTGCAGAGCTCATATGAATTTTTTGGGGGAAACCTGTCTGTAGAGGGTAGTAACAAAGTGTTTGTACAAAACAAGAAAGAACCGATCAAGCGACAGCTGGTATTTTAAATCCCCAGGAGAGTAATTTTCCAAATTGAAACAAGCAACGGCGAATCCAGACAATGCCTTCCTTACTTCTCTTGGAAATTTGATGGTTATTGCATTTAAGAGGCAGCTGTCCCAAAAGGCCACAACAGGTCAAGTGGGCTTTTAGTAGCAGGTGCCCAATGCGTAATTATATTGTATTTAATATGATGTAAGGAAAAAAATACCACCAAGGGATTAATAAGGAGCTATCAGAGAGTAATTTGGAGGACAATGTCCTGGCCAAACGGTGCACATGGACTAACCTGAAAAAAAATTTACCGCAAACACACAATATCTCATTACACCTATTTGTGTTTCACTGGTTAAGAGGGCGCTTCTTTCGAACTCTTTCCCCCAATGGGAGGGGCGTTTTTTATTATTTATTTTATTTATTTTTTAATACTTTCTCCAGCTGGTTCTCCTCCCAAAATTATTCAGTTATTCCAATAATGCCGGATCCTTCTCCACTCGGTCTATGATAATATATTCACGTGACAGCAGATCGACGAGAGAAGAAAGATTTTGACATGAGTGAAATTCAAATAAAAGCGTGATAGATGCACGTTTTCCAGCTCGACCATTATCTTTATCCCGTTCACCACGCAAGCTCATATGAAACAAAGTGGTGCTTTTATATCATTAGTGTGGCTGATATAAGATAATAAGTGATATTGGATTTCCCGTTCCATTAGTCAGATTTCCCAGCATAAAACTTAGCACCATCAGTTAATGACTATTTGGTCTAACAAACGCGTTAGTCAGAGTATCATAAATAGTAATTCCCAATGCAAAAACTTATTTGTCATTATACGAATTGCGACTACACAACAACATCACGTATTCCAATTATCGCAACTCGCACCGCCAATAGTAATCCATTATACATAACCAACATATCATATATAAGTACCTTACGGCAATAGGTAATCTATAGCCATCACTTCTTTTTTATAGCATGACGTATATATGTCATTAACGATTAATTGGTCAGCATGCGAAGGAGAGATATCATCTTCGATCCCCATCTTGTCATTAAGAATCCATCTCTTAAACTGGATTAAGACACAGGTTTTTGGTTCTATACGTCAATTATTTGTCACCTGCCTAAGTGATGGACAAAAAAAAAACTTCACTAGCTCTTGATCAATAGCTCACAAAGTTCGACTTAACTAAGATAAAATAAAAATAATATTTTCATACTGAAATTTCAGTGTACGGTCTCCCTGGTGAAATCAATTGCAGCCAACTCAAATTATGATATTGTTCGGCTTCAGAAAAAAAGTTTATAACGGGTGTTTTATATAAGACCTTAGTTGAGCAGCCTGAACATCGGGTCTGCTTAATATCAAACCTCCGAGTATGCACGATAATCATTGACAACACAGGTGAGCGTGTAAGGAAATCTGAAAATGAAGACTCTGGCCCTTGGAGTCTGAAATTAAAGCTTAATGTGAGCATACACTGAGAAAAAAACAAAATTATAAGATTCCCTAAGGAAAATTATTCCCTAGTCTACACGTGACGACCAAAAACCCTCTACCAAAGCCACAGCTCGATTTTTCATTAGATATTCTCTTGCTAATCCATGACAATTTTTTCTCGTGCCCATCGAGAATTTTAGCAAGGAATTAATTTAATCACTTAGCTGGTCTCTAGTGTGTAGTAAAAAGTACCAATAATGGCACCGTGCAGGTGCAGACGAGATATTCGCGCACGTGTTTCTGAGCGGAACGGGAATAACCCGAGTTGTACGAGGTTGGAAGAGAAGAGGTGTACTATATCGGTCTAGCACAGGTGCCAAGAATGTAACAGCACGAGGAGGGTAAAGTCAATGGGGTCAACTGATACAGTCGGTAGAGCAGTTGCTCTACCATCTCACAGCCTTTCCTCGTGACCGCATTGAGGTCGGGGGAAAAAAGCTAGCAATATTCCCAGTGTTGCCATTTCTGCGCCAAAATACATCGCCTCAGCTTGATTGGGTTTAATTATATGAGGTTTAGAGAGTTGGATGTTATGAGATATTCGTGTGTTTCATATAGGTCAATAAAGATATCGACAGTACAGATAAACCAGTTTTAACAACTCGCAATATACAGATTTGCCGAACTGGACGCTAGTAATCTTAATACGAATGAAGCCATATAGATACGGGATGACCACGCATAATAATACAAGGCTCCATCTTATCTTCTCCGGTCAATTATGTATACAGGTGAGATCGACTACTCTTACCTGTAACAACAGAAACCGAGATTTCGTTCCCGGTCACATTCTTGCTTGTGTAATGCAGTGATATTGACACCATTGTCCATTGTAACTGACAGCAGGAATGCTATCACTGCATCCACCCTTTTGCCTAATTGCTGTATATACATTTCCCATTTTAACCCAGGCATGATTGCTTAAGCATAACCGCTGATAAGATCTTTAAACGTCTTCAAAACAATCTTGGTGGCATTTTATCTATATTTCCTAAATATGTCTAACCTAGGCGACGCATTATGGGACAGGTTAATTGGAAAATGTGGGGGCAATGGGTACACATTTAAATGCGTCGTCATTATTAAGTGTGGCTGACAGTTTCTCAACACGGTTTGACTTATTTTTCCCCGTTGTCCATGTTATAAAAACACGTCATGTGTGTTTCATCATAGCCTTTTTATGTATATATGTGTGTGTGTGTGTGCTTAAACCTATTAAATTCTATAATGTTTCAAGGTGTGGGTGAGAGAGAAAAAGAGAATGGGAGAGATCGTGTGAGCACGTCTTATAAAGAGAGTAATCACAACAACTGCCGATATCCTTGCTTAATAGCATTCCATGTTGTTTGTTAAGACGACATTACCACGCACCTGGAGATGGACGTATAAAAATACAGGCATTAATAGTAACCGTAATTATACAGAACATCCCTTTGACGTTTGTTACCTTGTAGAGTAATAGTCATCATTTTAATTATTTTCTTGTCACAGAAAGGGCCACAAAGATTAATAAGAATTGAGTGGAAATCAATGTTTCAGTATTACACAAATATTATACGATTTCTTCTTTTCTTCTCTTTTTAGTGGCTACATATTTATTCATTTATATTCTGATTGCGTTGCTCATGTTGTTTACGTATGCTTGTATGATGATGCACACATGACATTAAAATGATGGATATGTACTTCACCATCACTATGGCTCGTTATTCCTGCCTTTTAAACACAACCTGGGAGTCTGACAGCATTTTTTACTTTATTCTTAATTACACCGGATTTTGATAAATGAAAATCTTCCTCTTTTGCTTTGCATTTTGTTGCTCACTTTCACTTAGAAAAAAAACTTGGTATTGGTGAGCTTGCATTACAAGTCACGTACAATGCATTCTTTTTCATTACAGTCATCACGCAGTGCCTTTGTTTGGTGCCCAGAACAGGTATGACATTAGGTAAACATGAAACCCATTCAAATATATGATATGAGAGAAACCCCACATATAAAACAATTGGTAGGGAGCTAAATGAGGGGTGGGGGTAATGACCTTCTTTATAATCACATCCAAGATGCCATAGACTGCGATATGGACACAATACAGACAACAATTTTACAGTAATTTACCTTCTGGTGCTGAGGGGGGAGGGTCAAGTGGGGGGAGGGGTCAATTATCATTCTAAACAATATGGATAGCCACACATAGTTTTCTTACCTAGTGCAGGTGGGGTCAAAGGACAGAGTCCAAGGGCCCCGCCAGGAGGGCTTGTGGTCATCTTCAGAAACTGCTCCTGCCGACTGGTGACCTTGTTGACTGAAACCTTCTGCTCAGGGTTTCCAGGGTGTTCTGGGGGGATAGTATTCCTCGAACTGGTGTTACTATTAATATTATTATTCAAAATGTTGTTGTTGTTATTATTATTATTATTGATATCAATATTCTTGTTCAGCTGAACAGGTGAGCTCCTATTTAGTGGTAGCTGTCTCAGTGTACCCCATAAAGCTGTAGACAAGTTGACAGAGAGTGGCTTTTGTTGTTGTTGCTGATTTAAGTTTGTCCTTTGATCACCCTGGTCATGTAACAGTGTCATGTTTTTCACCACTGTTGATATTACTGTATCTAAGTTTGTATTTTTCACCAATGAAGGGCTTATATCCTTGTTTCTGTAGACTTCTACTGAGCTAGAGCTTAATTTGCTTGGGTCTTTCACATCCACTGCTTGTTTTTTAATCTCTTCATCCCTCTTGATGTCTTTTCCTAAATCGGAGTGGTGTTCGTGAATTCTCACTCCAGCTCTATGCTGATTTTCCATATGTTCAGGATCATCAAGTTTTACATCAACAACATCTGCATTTATATCCATCTTTTTAGTACTTTTACTAGTACTGGGGCCACTAGAATTATATCTGGCAGCCAATGAAACCTGCCCATCCACCTGTTGTTGGAGGGGGTCATTTTGAACCAAGCCATCTCCCTGGTGTAACGTTGACCCCTCTGTCTCTGTTGACAAGGGGTCTATTCCTTTAGGTTTCCGAGAGAGATAATTCTGCATAGAATGGATGACCAGGACTTGGACTAGAGTGATGCACAGAATTGCTAAGATGAGAGCCGGTAGCCGACGTCGACTTTTCACCAACCTAAATATATTGGCCAGCATTTTACACCGCTGGTCCCCACCGGCCTCTTCTTCTAACGGCTCCGAATTCCACTACGGATATTTACGATAATCCTTATCGCGCTCTCGACGTTTCTTTTACAAGCCTTTGCTCATCCTGGATTCCCTTCACAACCGTGTACTACCACGAAGATGGAAATAAATTGCGCACAATGTCTATTTACATCTGATCAACGGCCCACTTAGCAGGGCACTAGAGATATGTGAACAACAACCAGTCAAACCCGCATTAAACACGCACTACCGATTATATATTACTCGAGAGAAATTCACCTGTGTAAAATGGCTTCGCCAGGTGAAAATTTCACCGGCCGACTGTTCTCACGTCCTAGTCGGTCCTTCTGTGTCAATATTAAGATTCAATCTCACGTATTTAGGTGAATACTCAGTATCAAGGTATACAGATGTGTAATCAGCGCGGTACGTCCCTGTTCTCTATTCCTTTACGTGTTCGTCTCGCCACGCTCTCGTTTGAACGGTTGACACACAACAAACGAAGAATAATCCTCGGTAGCTGTTACCTGTGGCGGAGTACAGGTTCTCCTCGATTATACCTTTCTACAGCGTTAACCTGTCTATAGTCCACATCCTGGTGATTCCTATTAATATCAGGGAGTGCCTTTTCTCTTACTAATACTTTTATGAATCAGGTGGTAGCCATAGTATATATTACAGTCTAGTTGAATATATAGGGGGCGCGTTGAGCGCGAGTACCCGGATGACCGTATGTTGTCATAATGAAAAGCAGTCGCTGAATAATAAAAGTACTGGTTACCGTGTACATAATGGGGAGGGCAGGAGCGATGTCGGATCAAGGGGAGGGGCACTGTAGACCCGTGTGCTCTCCCTCAGCTTCCGAAGCAGCAAGCAGCCCGTGTAACGAGCGATAAAACCAAACCATTTTAAATTTCTGTGCCCTAAATATACTAGTGCTTACAGTGTAGGGCCTACTGGTGGGCTATAGGCCAGAGGGATTGTTTTCGTCTCCTGCTTTAAATTTGCCTTGATAAAAGACCCTCCCCACCCCCCACCCACCCCCCACCCCCCCCCCCCAAAAAAAAAAAAGCATTTATCAGCCACTGCATGATTAGGTTTATTTTATTATTATTATTTCTTATTTATTTATCTTATTTAAATTATCTTTTTCAGCCTTTCTTTCTATTTTCTTCATTATTGGTGGGGGGGGGGGGGGGGAGGGAATGGTTAATGTCGAAAACTTTATCAAATTCCTTTATCATACAATTAGTACGCCATAATTTACGTAGTTTCTATTTATTTATTCACATCTTTGGTAATGCATCATGTAGTCAGTGAAATCTTTAACCCTGCGTATACCAGTGAAGACATCTGAAACTTTTTAACTCAGGCAAATTTTTTTACCATCACCCAAGCCTAAACTTTGCACCAATATAAGTTTCACGACTTTAAACTTGGAAAAATTACAATAATTGAATATTCAAATTAACACTGGTGTGTTTACGTTTGAAGTGAAATAACGTCTAACAGCAAATTCAAGTAAACAAAAGGAAGCAAAATTGTGGTGACTTTCAGAAAGGGAATAAAATCCCTGTACCATAAAATTACATGATAAGCTCTCTCAAATGGGCTTCACTTTGGCTATATAATCCACAACTGTCCCTCGGGGACAAATTCCCTGTATAGCACCTGATGCCCTGTTAACAACGAGCGGTATAATTTAGAGATACATTCTGTGCCGGGTAAGTTAATAAATAAAGTGGTGTGCGACGCGAAGACTCCGTTTAGGTGACTCTCTCATATTATAAATAGTCGTTTCCCCTTCATCTTTGCATAGTTATAAAACATCAGATAATCCACGCCCAAGAAAGTCTTGGGTTATAAAGCTATTACGACCTCAAAAAGTGACAAAGTGACAGCCTGTAACAAGGTGTGAAAAGAGCCCAGTGTTCAGTGCTTAAAGGGCGGTGCCCCTCGAATACTGAAAGTTGTTTGCATTGCCTTATAAATCGTCAGCAGTGTTCAGGGAGTAAATAATAAAAGCAAATATTGTGCCAAACAAACTGTGCCGCACCGCTCTAGTTGGCTAATGGACCGCGCAGGTGAGAGCGTCTCACAGGACGGGGACCCGAATTTGAGACACGTCTTTCAAAGAGAACTTAAAAGTGCATGCGTATGTAGTAGCATTACAAGCGAGGGCTAGGATTAGGTGTAAAATGCTATTTATTTATTTATTTATTCTTTTTTTCTTTTTTTTTTTTTTTACGCCAAAGATGTACCATCTTAATAGTCATTTAGCGTAAAAATGCGAAATTTATTCCTTTATTAAAGACGACTGTAAAGTTTAAATTCCATAAAAACAGAAATGACTGAAATTCGTAGACATAGGTGTAGGAAGGGGGGGGGGGGGGAG